GACTGGGTTACACAGAAAGTTCCAGGACAGCTAAGGCTACATAGAGAAACCCTGTCTCCCCCACCCCCCCCCAAAAATGGAAAAGAAAAGACAGTGGAAGGTGGGGAGCCAAGTGGGGACGGGGAGTTTGGGAACTTCAGATGCCATTCTCTCTACCCTAACCTGGGTAGGGTCTGCCATACTCCCACACGATCGGAAGAATCCCATCTGGGGGAGATGCTCAAAGCGCATTAGGTGCAGACAGGGAGGCAAGCATCGCAGGGTCGCATTGGGCCTCTTTCCCCCACAGGATCCCTCTGGAACAGTATGTCTGAGACCTAACAGAGGACAAGAGGAAGCCATGGGAGGGGCCTAGGAAGGACCTTTGCTGTCCCCTTCTGTCTCCATTTCCCCTAACACTTTGTGCTGGTACGTGAAAAGTCTTCCAGAAGAGGGTCCATCCACAGTTGCTGCACTGTGGACTCTCCCTGCCTCCATGAAGGAAGGAACTCTGTCCCAGGCTTAAAATTCCTCTTAGAAATGTGTATTTTTATACCTTATCTAGTTAGTTTTTGCTTTGCTTGTGTGCATATGTGTGTTCAATTTGTTTGCTTTTTGTTTTGAGGCAGCCTATCAGGTACCCTAGATTGGCCTTAAACTCACTATATAGTTCAGGATGACTTTGAACTTAGGATCCTCCTGCCTCTAACTCCCAAGCACTGGGATTGCAGATGTTTGTCACTATTCCCAGTTTTATGTCTAGTTCTATGCAGAGCTGAACATTGAGCCCAGGGCTTCATGCATGCAAGGCAAATATTCTACCTGAGCTACATCCCCAAGCCCAGAAATGCACAATTAAATTTCTGCCATAATATGTCCGCAAATATGCAGCTAGATATCCACGAGCAAGGTGTCTACACTAGGCCTGGCTGGGGGGGGTTGTTTCGTTTTTGCTTGGTTTAGTTTATTTCTCCATGGTGTGAACCAAACGGGGGGGGCAGTGAGTCCCTCGCTGTGAGCCAGGGCAGGACCTTACCTGGATATCCTTTATCATGACGCTGTAAGCAAGGCCGTGAGACTTCAGATAAGCTTTGACATCACGTAGTTCAGAGAAGGGGACTCTCATGTCCACAGGGAGGCTAGGTCTGGCTGGACCACGCCAGAAGTCCACCTTATTAACCAAAGGAAAAAAAAGGAGAGAGAGAGAGAGAGAGAGAGAGAGAGAGAGAGAGAGAGAGAGAGAGAGAGAGAGAGAGAAGAAGAAGAAGAAGAAGGAGAAGAAGAAGAAGAAGAGAAGAGAAGAGAAGAGAAGACACAGCTGTGTTTATTGCTTGTCCTTAATATGCTGTGTTTATTGCTTGTCCTTAATATGCCCAGTAGGATCCTCGGGGGACTAGGTTTCTTATATATTTCAAAGGGATCCAGTTCCATGAAGGAAATCCTAGGGTATGAAGAGAGGACAAATCCCCTTCACCAAGCTCCTTTCCCCGTTTCCTGGCTACCTTTACCTCCTCGCCTCTCTCATACATTGCTACTTCACCTGGATCCACAGAGCCCTAGAGTCCCTACAAGTGACACTGTTGTCACCTGGACAGGAACCCAGGCCAGAGGAGGCAGGCATGACTTCTTCTAGTCCCCTGGGAAGCAGAAGAGACACAGCTGGAGCCCATCCCCATGTCTACCTATAAATCTGTAAAAGGGAGTCTCTACGAGTGGTAGAACCCCTCACTGACAGGGAAACTCCTACAAAGAGCGGCAAGAGCTTTGGGCCACATCCAGAAAAAGCTGGTTGTTTTACAAGCCCTCAAACAAAAGCCCTCTATTATCATTGTCAAAGAAAATGTTTTCCATTGTGAAAACTTGTGGAGGACAAATGTTCTTGGAAACAGATACCCAGGCTGACAGACACAGACCCAAACATACCATAAGTTTGCCAAGTGAAGCCATTCCAATTGGAAGGCAGATGTGAGCAGCCCTATGCTACGTGGCACAGCAGCAGGGGCATCTGTGCTTCCGGATGGCTTTAGGACACTGCAGCTGTTTTCAGAGTACGCTCACCATTCCCCCATCCACAACAGAGGGAGCAGCCAAAGGAATCACAACTTACAAAGGCCACCCAACTTTTTAGGGACATGGTCCTAACATGTGGCAGAGAAGCCATACTGGACTTGTCCACAATCTAGTGGACATTTTTTGTTCGTTTGATTTTTTGAGACATTGGGTTTCTCTGTGTAGCCCTAGCTCTCCTGGAACTAATTCTTGTACACCAGGCTGGTCTCGAACTCACAGAGATCCGCCTGCCTCTGTCTCCCAAGTGCTGGGATTAAAGGCATGCGCCACCACCGCCCGGCTCTAGTGACCATTTTTGAGACCTCAGGAGAGCTTGGGGTTGGAAGGAGTAGAGGCACAAGGAAAGGGGCCAAGGTAGACAGTGACGAGCGCTGTGACAGTAGCGTCCCCAGGAGCAAGCCTCACCTTCTGGGGCTTCAGGCCCTCCAGATCCCTGAGAAGTGACAGCTGCTTCTCATCTTTGGCCAGGATTCGAAGAACCTGGTCTCTGGGGAAACATGGTGAGAAAGTTGTTGTGGCGTCCTGGGATGCTGGGACAGTGGAAAGAGGTGGTATGGAGAAGAGGGAGACTGGACTGGAGCAGACCTGGCAGAAACGACACGTCCACCCTCCCACACCGAGCGAATGGGATGAAGAGGTGGGAGGGATAGACTCAAAGGGTCTGGGGAACCAAGGGTAGCTCCGTGTGCTGAACCCCATGGAGGAGAAATCAGACAACCCCAGCTCTCCTGGCAGAGAAGCTACGCTCCTTTCCTTCCAGCTGGGTAGGTCCCACATTGTGAGCTCCAGGGTCTGAGATGGGATGGTTCCGGGACCTGGGAGGTGACTCCCTTGCTAAGCCGGGTCTCTTTCTTACTGTACCATCCATAGATCAATCTTCTGGAACATTGGGAGGCCTGGGGTGTGCACTTGAGTTTGCTGCTATTTGAAGAAGGATAACAGCACATCTACTTTTGATATGAGCATATATTCTGATGAAGGTTAACAATTTCTTCAAGGATTTGAGGAAAAATATAAACCTTCACCCCTAAAGAACATGTATAAAATCTATTGTGTGCGATTTTAGAAGTTTTTAAAATTTTTATTGATATATTAATTGTACTTAAAAATGGGTTTCTTAATGACCTTTTCATGCATGCATATACTGTATTTGATCCTACTCACTCTTCCCCATTATCCTCTCTTGTCTCCTCCCACTTTTTCCCTATTCCCAGTGAGAATCAATTTTAAGGGATCCTCTCAGAACCCTGAAAATTTAACCCGGAGCTTTAGATTTAGAAGTCTAGATTTGGAGAGGGATATTAACATAGCCAAAACATCTCTCTGCCCTCGAGTATGGGTGGAAGAGCAAGGAATCTAAGGGGGTTCTGGATGAGTGATGAACTTTTGTATGGTCTCACCCAGGAGCACACAGAGACACATATACACTCACAGACACACTCACAGACATGCACACTCACTCACAGACACACAGAGATACATGCACAGGCACATACATTCACAGACACACACTCACACACACACAGACCCATACACAGACTTACAGACACACACACATGCACAAACACACATATGCATGGACACACACACTCATGCACAGACATACACACTCATATACACACTCACAGATGCACACACATACTCACAGACACATATCCTCACACACATGTACACATGCACAGACACACACAGACATACACACACGCACGCACACAAACACAGACACATAGACACATGTATAGAGATTCACACACACACACACACACACACACCCCACTCAGAGTATTTAGGTCTCTTCCCTCCCAGCCAGTTTTTCTTCCCACCATGCAGCAGCCACTCACCCTGTGAAATTCATTTGGCCCCAAGCTACAGCCAGGATAAAAGTGCAGATCAGAAGTGTCCGTCTGTCCACAGGGGACAGCCCAGGACCTGTTCCTCCTCTTAGGGGGCCTTGCATGCTTCTTTCTCCAGGCAAACTTCAAGGGCTTTCTTCCGGCTTGGCCATGGCCTAGGCCTCACGACAGCACAGCATCTAAAGACCAGCAGGCCGGGCCTGAGAATGGACATTAGGCTCTAAGGGGTCTAGGTCTAGCATGTGGTACCCACATGCCAGGCCTTGGGACAGCCCGGCCAACCCTCCTCCCTCCTTTCCTGGGAAGGGCATGGAAAGAGGGCAAAGGGGGAAGACAGGACCCTTAGCTTTTCTTTCCTCTGTAGGATGGGGAGGAGATTCCCCGCGCCAACCTCCTCACGAGCATCAAATCCTGCATCTCCAGAGAAAGAGAGGTAGCTAGTGGCTCTAAGCTGTCCCCTCTACACAACTGCTCTTCTGCCCTAATCCCCTCTCCATGCACTGACACCACCACCAAGCCTATGCTTCTTACACAGAAGAGAGTAAGCATCACTGAAGGGTCCCAGGTCCCAGGCCAGAGAACGGGGTGCTCAGCCCCTGTGTAATGGAATTGCTGGGCCTGTGACCTGCTCTAATCATAGTGAGCTGACTCGCCAGTCAGGTGGTGTTGAAAATACCTTCCCTCCCTACCTCACAGGAGACCTGGGGTGTTACATGAGACAACATGGATGAATCGGCTTGGTGAAGCCCGTGACACGTGGTGTCTTATTATCTAGGAGGCATTAACTCTTAGCCACAGGCCTGTACTCCTGTTGCAACAGGGAAGGTCAAGGGGGAGTGAGACAAAGGAAATATATATTGTGTATGAGAAGGGATTCAGTCAGGATGCCTTGTCTCCATCATAAGGTAGGCACCACTCCACTGAGACAGGTTGAGCAATTTCTGCAGGACATGAAGGCCATGACAGTCGTTTGTATAGTTCTCAACAAACAGCAAAGCTCATTTATCGGTCCTACAGGAGCCCTACACAGTCTCCTTACTGTTTGGGAACAGGAAGAACAAAGAAGAGGCCAGTACACAAAGTAGTCATCTTGAAAGAACGAAGCAAAAGATGGGGCCTGAATGATACAGGATGAATCTAACAGAAAATCTGAAAGAAGTGGGAAGATTCCAAGCCAAAATCCAACAAAGATGTTCTGTCTACAAAGGCCACTTAACTGTCACTAGAGATTCTCAGCAGCCCCCCTTCTCCTCCCAGACTTTCCCACAATGGCCAATTAGCTGGCCGTGTGTGTAGAGGGGGTCACTCTTCTATTGATGGCTGGCCCTGCTCTCCACCCCGCCTGCCCTACTCCATTATTTCATGGGTCAGCCGTTCAGACGCGCCAAACTCTCCTAGAACCCCAGCTTTGGAAATGCTCAGAAAGAAACATCAGCAAAGGGCTTAAGGACCTAGGAAAGAAAGCAATTGTGTGGCTTTAGTAGCCATGAGAATAAAAGAATGAGCTGGTAAATAATAGCTCAGAAATTCAAAAGAAAAAAGTGGGAATGGTACTAGTCACCGAAAGCACCCAGCATCCTCTTGTTCAAAAGCATCATTTTAAGCCACTAACAATGAGACAACTATCCCTGTACTTGGTTTAGGGAGGAGAGAGAGATGGAAAGAGAGAGAGAGAGAGAATTAGAGGGCAAAGAGGAAGAGAGAAGCGGTTAGGAACTCTGGAGAATTCTATGGCAGCACTTCCAATAGAACCTTCCACGATAATGGAAATGTTCTATCTCCACATCATCAAGAGGACAGTCAGCTGGCCCCTTGACAGGCCTGAGAAAATTTTAATCGTGCTTCATTTTCATTAACTTAAATAGCCCCACCGAGGGAATGCCTACAAAACCAGACAGCCGAGTTGAATGGGAACTTGCCCACCCTCTGAGTACCACAATCAATGGCTAAATTTGAAGCAGAAACTCGTATATGTGTTTAATGAAATGCTTCATACTGGCTTCTCACTCATCATTAATGGTCCATTAATTATTTACTAGATAATCAGTCTCCTGGAGCCCTTACTATGTGCCAAACACTGAGGTAGGGAGTAAGACAGCGCAACACAGTCCCGACCTTATTATTCCTGAGGGGCAGGCTGTCCATGAAGAGCAAACAGCAGGTGAATGAATGTGTGCTGCCCCAGGAAAGCATGGAAGCACAGAAAAACACGTAGCAGACATGTCCTTAAACAAAATGTGTTGAGGAACTCTTACTTCCTGCAAGTGGGCAGGGTTAAACACCCCAACAGTCCTGACCAAAGTGAGCCAGGAGGATGCAGGGTACAATGTCTTCAATAACATCTTTCTACATGTATCACTGGGATGCCCTTAAAGTGAGTATTTGCAGATCCAAAACCGTCCTAAGAAGCTAGCTAACTGTGAGCAAGGAAGCCCTCCCCCTGGCTTCTCCTCGCCAGAAGGTGCATCTCATATCTACGGTGAGTTTCCCATTTGTTTGGAGTCTCCTGAAAATTTTCTTGCCATTGTTTTGATTCCTTTGAGAAGTCTTTGTTCTGCTCTAACTCTTGAAGGAGTTTTAAAAATTCCACTTGGCTGTTGTTTTTCTCTTGACACACTGAAAACATATCCCATGATGTTCTGGCTTCCATTTTGCTGTTTAATCAGTTGGTCTATCTGCTCCAAGTTCCTTGGTAGGTCTTGTTCATTTCTGTTTGCTTTGAAGATCTCTTTGCTTTTTATGTTCTACAGTTTTATTATCATTTATACTTCAGAAATCATAATATGCCCTAGTGCAGACTTCTTTGTTCTGTTCTGTTTGAGATTCATTTAGTTTCCTACATTTGGATATTACCACTATTTTCAAATTTTCTCAGCCATTGTGTTCTTCAAACATTGTCTCCTTGCCAGTCTCCATTACCTCCATCTGGAGCTTTTGAATAGCTGATATTAGGCCTTTTCATGCTGTCCTCTTAGATTTTAAACCATTTCATTATATTCTTATTTCGTTGTCTTTCTGGGAACATGGAAGAGAATTAATTCACACCAAATATTTGTAACTTTCTCATCACTCAAATTTAATATGTAATTTAATTGATCAACTGAGTTTTAAATTTCAATTGCTCAATACATCAATCCTAAAACAAATTTTCCCCACATTTCAAAACCTTTGAAATCAAGATGCATTGTACAGTTTTGCCGCATCTTCAGGTAAGTGGCAATGGTTTTGATGGCAAATAAGAATCATGCTATTTCTTATGATCAATCCTATTCTATCATCAACAAAATAGAGTATTTACTTTTTCATTTGTAATTCTAGCTGATATTTCTTCAAGCTCAACTGACCAAATCCTTGGTCTTTCCTGTGTGAGCTAGGCAAGTGCTCCCCACTGAGCTACATGTGCTTAGCCTTTTTTGTTTTTTATAGTTGCACACATCCATGCAGTGTATCATGCTCATGTCCTCACATCCACCTCTATGGTCACCCTCTCCTCTCTCTGAACTCTTTCCTCTTCCCAAAAAATTCCCTCAGTTGGCTGTACCATTAGAGAAAGTGAAATCGTCATGGGAAGCCTTGAATGTGTTACCCTCCTGCCTCAGTGCCCAGTAGCTTATTGCAAGGCCTTAGGCACCAGGACAGCTGTACTGTTGTCTATTTAAACTTAAATAGGATCCAGCGATCCAGTCCAATTGCTTTCGCCTCAAAGTCTAATGGTTACACAAAATGCAACAATCTGAAAATCAAAGACCTTAAGGAAAGTCCGTTAGCACTGACGATGAGAGGCACCCTCAGTCTATCATTATTGAGACAATAGGAAGCATAGAAATAAGCCACAACACATCTGGAAGTCCATCATTCTAGACACACACAGCAGATCAATGTGGAGCAGACAGACTAGACCAGGGCCAGTGTAGATCTGCATGGGGACATGAAATGCAATCTCTACTGTGTCGCTTACGAAAATCACCTCCAGGTAGATTAAAATGCTCAAAGGCAAAGGCAAAACTATGGCACTTCTAGAAGGCAACCCGAGGATTTTTCTTATACATAGCATTAGGGTAAGAGCCAGCTTTTAAAACAAAACATAAGAAGCAAAATAAAGTAAAGGTTTGCAGAAAGGGAAAGACCGGTAAAGATAGGCTACATTAAAGTGAGGAGCCTCTAGCTCTGTCTAAAGCTTCTGTGAACTGGGATGCTCAAGCAGGGTGATTTTTCCAAGGCAGCATACTGAGACTCCATCTCTTAAAAGAAAGAAAGCAAAGCAAAAGAAGAAAGAAAGAACGATAAAGAAAAGATTGTCAGGCATGGGATACCCTCTTGTAATCCCACCACTATTGAGGTTGAGGCAGGAGGGCCCCAAGTTAGAGGACAGTCTGGCATACACAGTGATGTTCTATCTCCAAACATGGTCGTAATCTCAGCTACTCAGGAGGTTAATGTAGACAGATCACAAGTTCAAGGCCAGCCTGAGCTACATAATATGTTGGAGGCCAGTTTGGGGCACTTAACAAGAAAACATCTTAAAGAAAAAAGGATATCTGTTTTTAAGATTCTAAATTAAGCGCCAGGCGTTGGTGGTGCATGCCTTTAATCCCAGCACTCGGGAGGCAGAGGCAGGCGGATCTTTGTGAGTTCGAGGCCATCCTGGTCTGCAAAGCGAGTTCCAGGACAGCCTCCAAAACAATACAGAGAAACCCTGTCTCGAAAAACCAAAAAAAAAAAAAAAAGAGGTGGCTCAGCAGTTAAGAGCACTGGCTACTCTTCCTGAGGACCTGGGTTCAATTCCCAGCACCCACATGGCAGCTTACAACTGTCTAACTCCAGTTCCAGGATCTGACACCCATACACAGACACGTATGCACATAAGATAAAAAAATAAATGAATTTTAAAAAAAGATTCTAAATTAAGAACTGGGAGGACATATTTGCAACATACAAAACTGGTGAAGAATTAATATCTAGGACATAGAAAGAATATAAGTGAATCAATTTCTATAAATTGTTTTTTAATGAAAGGCTATGTCACAGAAGAGGACTCATAAATGGTCTATAAATGTACAACAAAATTACCATATCCTGCCACCAAATTAACCAAAGCTGAAAAACTCAGCCAGCGATAAGAGCTAAGGAAAATAGAGGTGGGACATGCAGCTTCTCATCTCCTATTGGGAGAGTTTAAAATGAAATAATGTCAGAAAATCGGCAGAATTAGGCTGAGGCTATAGCTCAATAGTAGAGCACCTACCGAGTAAATACATTACTCTGTGGCTCTAGGCTCTGTCCCGGCATGTGGAAAACATCCTCCTCGTAGCCCCACCCTTGCTAGTGAGGTAGAACACGTACTGGGCACAAATGTCCTGCCTACAGCCTGAAGAGCGGGGATGTAGCAGAGTACTGGAAGACTGGACGAAGAGAAGGGAGTGAGGGCCGGGCTGGTGGTGCCCCTCTTTAATCCCAGCACTCGGGAGGCAGAGGGCTCTCGGTGAGTTCCCGGCCAGCCCGAACTGCATAGTGAGACCCTCTCAAAAATAAAAACAAAGAAACGGAAACGAATCAGTACCAGGTTCGTGCACCCAGATGGACAAACCTCAAAGATGTAAAGAGAAGCAAATCAATAGTGCAGATTGGTGGTTTTGTCCAGGAGAAGGGAGGGTGTGCATTTGAGGAACCATGAAGCTCTTCAGTGATGTTGTTTCTTGTTCTGGCGCTGAATTGAACATAAAACCAGCCCACATATGTCCAATGGATTTTTAAATGAATGGATGAGTAGCTTACAGAAAATGCTAAAATGTTAAAGTCTGATTTTTTTCTTTTTCTTTCTTTTCTTAGGGGGATGGATAAGATATGGTGTTTTCACTCTCTAGCCCAGGCTAGCCTCAGATCCCATAGCAAACTTCCTGCCTCCACTTCTCTAAGTTCCAAGATTACATGTGTGAGTCATCCTGTCCGGCCTATGTTCATACTTGAAATAGTGAGAAATCAAAAAAAAAAAAAAACCGCCCCAAACTAAAAAGCAAGCCAGGAAGCAGCTGTGTACACCCTTACCTGGGTTTATAAATCCGAGTAACGTGGCTGCAAGTGTGGGCAGGACTCCTCATATCAAATGGTTAGAAAAGGGTTTCACTCTGCAAACCAGGTGTTGAGTATTTATTTCTCTAAGCCTACAAAGTGGACCTGGGTGTTCAGAGCCATGGATACATAGAGAGATGTTTCCAGAGATGACGAAGAAGAAGAGAGGGGAAGAGCTGCTACTGAGGGGGGATTTCAGTTTGGGGACCTGGCAGAGTCAACGAGATGTGTGGGTACCGAGAGCTGCGTGGTGATATGAACGCACTTAATGCCACAGAAAATTTAAGCTCTGTATCTTACATATATATATATATATATATATATATATATATATATTATACACTCAGAATAAAAAAAAGAACAAGCAATGGCATTTGAGCCACTAGATAAGATGAGAAGGAGTTAAGCAGCCAAGGCAGGGGTAGGAAGGCACCAGGAAGCCTGAGGCGAGAGAGCCCTGAATCCCTGTCATTAAAGGTATTAATTCCCACTTCTGTCAGCGACCACCCTGAGGGTCTCCAAGATCCATGAGGTGCCTCAATGCTCACAAATAAAACTCCCAGACTAAATTATGTTTAATCTCCACAGGTTCCCTCTGGGTGCTTCACAGAAATAAATACGTCAACTGTAATCTTTAAAACAGCAGAGGAG